GATATCAAAAAAGTACTCCAGAGTGTTGTTCAGCATGGGGGTGAGTAGAAAATGAAGGCTAATCATGTTTTGGGTGTACTATTCCTTTAATATCCTGAGGAGCTGCATCCCACGTTGGACTGAAACGCTTCCCTAATCCTGTTTCTTTGTCTCTAACTGGACTAAATCATTAAAAAAGCCAGCATGTTCTGTAATATGACATCTAGGTTTCATTCTCAATGTACCTAAACTGTCCATTCCAGAAATTTGGCAGTAATCAGTCCAAGCCCGAGTTCACGGTTGATCTGCGCGGCGCCTCGGTGGAGTGGGCTTCCAAGGAGAAGTCCAGCAAGAAACACGTCATCGAGGTATCGATTGCAAGCGCAGCAGCTTTTTTATCGTTTGTGTTTGTTAGCCGTTTGACCGAAGATGGTTTTTCCACCTTTCAGCTGAAGACCCGTCAGGGCACAGAGCTGCTGATCCAGTCTGAGATCGACAGCGTCATCAATGACTGGTACCGGGCCCTAACCGAGACCATCAACACTCATGTGAGTACCTTTCTATATCCGAGTCCACGTTTAAGCCCGAGCTGACACCCGTTTTGGTAAAACCCAATGTCTCTGGTGGTCCAGGCTTGGGAGTCCGATGAAGCCATTGAGGAAGACATGCCAGAGTCTCCGGGGGCAGAGAAACAGGACAAAGAGAAGGACCATCGGGACTCCAAGAAACACAGAAGTGAGTCCATCTGAGCTGTTAGCTTACGTCCCACCAGACAAATGAGTTTAATTGGCCCGTTTTTCCATAATCAGCCATATTGTCCAGAAAAAAAGCTGATCATTACCTCTCTTGTTCCTCTTACCGCCCTGCTGTGTGCCGTTAGTGATGAAGAACTCTGTGAGCATGGACTCTTCGGACCAGAAGAAGACCAGGATGAAGCTCAAGAAGTTCCTCATAAGGCGTCCAACCTATCAGGCAGTCAGAGACAAAGGATACATCAAAGGTGAGCCGGAACGGATCCTCAGAACGTCGTAACGCCGTGCAGTCCTCCGCCATGCCGCTATAAGCTAGTGTCCTTCTGTCCACAGACCAGGTGTTTGGCTGCAGTCTGAGCAGTCTGTGTCAGCGGGAGAACACGTCCGTGCCCAACTTTGTCAAGATGTGCATCGACCACGTGGAGAACACAGGTACAGACACCTCAATTGAATTCATCTGAAGTTCCTCCTGATGTGTTTAGACTACATCTAGAGAGGAACATCTATCTCTACGATCAGTTGGAATATATTCCAAGCAGGATGTAAGCTAACTGTGTAGGAAAGATTATCTCTTTAGTTTCTATAAGGAGATCTTGTTGACTTTAGCTGAACGCTACAGCCATTAGAAAACAACCCATCCTGTTGTGTTTAAGACTTTAATTGCCAAACTATTTTATTCTCTTACAGGCTTTATATCTTAGACTTAGACAGACTTTATTGTCATTGTGTTCACACAGGGTGTATACAAAAAGAAATTTCGTTCAGTACAGCGGTGCAGCAGTGATAAAAAGTAAACATGGTGATCAAATCTAAACATAGACTATATGAGTTACAGTTTTCAACTTTCAGTGCTTTTTGGAGAACAAGGAAATAAAGGCACAGAGTCAATTCTTTTTACTCGCAAGGAGAGTAGGAAAAGACCGTGCAGGTACATCTCCACCCCACTCTGTCGGTCTCCAGCTTTCTCCTCGCTATTTATTAAAGTCAGAGGGGAGTCCCTAGTTACACAAGCTGAGGTGGTGCTAAAGGAATAGGAAACAAGAAATACAATTCAATTTGCAGCCTCAGTGAACAGGTCAATTTGTCTTTAAATGTCTTGCGGTCAAATGGTCCAAGAACCTCCTGGCTTCGTTAAGCTTGAGCAATACTGCTTGTGCAACACCTCTCTGGAACAGGAATATGTCACACATTATACATCATAAGAACAAACATTAAGTATCTTATGCATAATTATTCCAACAAAGCTGTTTAGGAATCTGCTGGTCCTGAATTGAATGATTCGAAATCTAGAAGTTAAACCTTGAAGTAGCTGCTTTAAAACCTAAAGATTAAGCTGGCCTGCATACATCCACATTTCCTTATCTCTGTTTCTTATTCTCCACTTTGGAAAACATCTATTTAGTTGATGCTTATTTTTATATAAAACTGGACTCTGCAGCTCTAGTATGACACCTAGTGGTTTTTTGAGGGAACTGAATCTGTAGATTGGAACTCCTTAGAAGAAAATGCACTGATAAACGCAGTGAGTCGGCTCTGCAGTGCAAATTCATGTTTGCTGTTTCTGAAAAGTTAAGAGCAAAAAGATGCTCCCAGTCTATTTTCCTTTAAGGTTTCCCAGACATTCCTGCCTGTAGCCTCAAAAATAACAATGCCACAGTCTGTAGACACATTGTATATTAATATTTTAATAATATTAGATTATTTGATTGATCATTTTAAATTTATTTTTAATTATTTATTTGGATAATTAGTTATTTAATTGCACATTTTACACTTTAATGGCATACTTTATATTTCAGTCATCAAAGAATAACCAATGGATCATTATCTATACCTAAAAACTAATACGTCCGCAGCGATTTAATGAATTTAGCATTAATCAGTAAAAAAATAAAAATAATATTTTTCGTTGGGATCACCGAGTCTGGGAGCGGCCATTTTTNAGCTCCAAGCATTTTCTCTGTCCTGTAACGACCTGATCTGGAATAAACTCTGTTATTTTTTTACTCCTGTTTTATAGTCCTTTTTTATATGGCTTTACCCAGTTTGAGTTAAGAGTAGTAAATAACTTGCTCCCAGGAAAATAACCGTGAGGACATAACCGTTAGGGGACATAACTTCCTCATTTTAACAATTTCAAGTGTTTTTTTTTCCCGACAACTAATGAAAACACCAAATTCAGCATCTCAGGAAATTTGAATATTGTGAAAAGGTGAAGACACCTGGTTTCAAACTCTTATCTGCTCAAAACACCTGCCTGTAAACTGTCTCTCAGCGTAGTTCTGTAGGCTACACAATCTTTGGGAAAACTGCAGACTTGACAGTTGTCCAAACGACGACCATTCACACCTCGCACAAATGAAGCAAGACATAAAAGGTCACGGCTAAAGACGCTGGCTGTTCACAGGGCTAAGTGTGAAATCACATTAATAGAGCGATAAAGAAAAGATATGTTAAAGAAACACGTACAAGCAATCAGGATAAATGCACCCTCAGGAGGATTGTGAAGCAAAACTATTCAACATTTGGGTGAGATTGACTAAAAGTGCTTTCAGATGCTGGGAGTTCACCACTCTGCACAGTGTTTACACCCTGGTCTGCATCAGCAAATAGGAGGAGCTTCAACTGATAGGATGAATGGTGTGTGCTTCGTTAGTGCAGGTTTTTGCTGTTAAAAGGGTCACTTTAAAAAAATAAAATAAATCAATATAATAAAAAAGATCATATGTGCTCATTTTGTTTCAGAGCTGTTAAAGATTGAGTTTTAGGTGATCTGGGGTTCAACTAGCTGACTATTAATTTTGACCGCTGACGTCACCATCAGAGCTGACATTAATGCTAAGCCCGTTTCAGAGCATAAACTTGCATAACATACGTAATATGACATTTTTACGCTGGCATTTTATTTTATTATTTATTACAGTGTACATGTTTACCTACGTTAGTGGCTGGAATGATTGTTTTAAAATATCAAGTTGTCCATCAGCCTCCCAGATTGTTCAGTTTAGACCTGCTGTCACCCCTGGCAACCTCCCTGCTTTACCTGTCATGGTCTCACTTTCGACACTTCATAATAAAAGCACAGGTTAAACTTAGCCTAACATTATAGACTGCTGAAGCCCAAGATGGGCTGAAAAATTAGATCACTGGTTCATCCAGAGTTATGTCTGAATAACAGTCCTAACTTCCTTGTAGATCTACTCATGCATGAGTAGATCTACAAGG